CACTGCTTTCCAAATTTTCTCCCTTTCTTTTGAGGAAAACAGTTAACAGTAGCTGCTGATAATCATCCCAATTGAGTTGGTGGGCTTTGAACATCGACTCCAACAGGGTAATCAGAGCCTAAGGCTGTTTTGGAAAAAATGGAGGAGTCTAGGTCTTCCAGTTACATAAGTCACTAGTACTAAAAGGAACATAAACCAAGGCAATCTGGACATTTCCTCCGGCTCCCGACATGGCAGTCTGCCATAAAGGCAGAACAGGGACAGGGTCTGAGGAAGATTTTTCCTCATCTTGTGAGGAGGAGTCCACCACGGGCTCTGGGGAGGGTTGCCAGTGGGGGCAATGAGGAGGGCATGAGACAGGAGAGGGCAATGGTGAAGCAGAAAAAGCTAAGGTTGTGGGATCATCATCCTGGGGGCAGTGCTGAAGGCAGCACAGAGGGTTTTGCTTCAAAGACCTCTCTTTTATCACCAAAACTCTATCAGGAAATCCACAAGCACACATCCTAAGTCATTGGGGTAATGCTCAAACCATGCAGTCAGGAGTCTATACAGGGGAACTGATATGGTTACTCAGGTTTTCCAGTAACAGCATCCAATACCCTGCTGTGTACCTGAGGATTACGTATTCCCTCCTCCACTCTACCAGCAGGCTACACAAGAGTCCAAGGCCACCATGACCTGAAATCCTGGACACATTTGGGAAAACACAAAACACACAGACAAACAAAATAATTTACTGCTCCTGACTGTTAATTTGGAAAAATTTTAGAGTAGAGTCCAGCACTGACCAAATTCAGAGACAAAACTCTGACCAAATTCGTGGCCACCCTGAGACCAAGAGTGTACTCTTAGAAATATTGGCCAAGTTGAGCTATAGCTACAATAATCTGTTGTAGGCTCATTATAAATTGACTCCTTAGAATTTATTGGGGGGTGATCAGTTAGCAAAGACATATCTCGTAGTAAGCTAACACCAGTAGGGATGTGAGACAGAAAAACATCTTCACTGTGAAGGCAAGGACTGCTTGAAAAAGAATTACACTGACAGTTGCCTTAATCTTGAAATGGGCTTGTAGGCTTTATAGCACTCTCTGTGGTCTTGATAGCCACAGCTGATAGCCAGCACTGTTCAGGCCAGGTGAAGTGTATACAGAGACTAGGCGATTATTTTTGGAACTAAGTATGTATTTTAAAGGGTGAGGGAGTCAAAGATCTATCAACGCTTTATTTTGCTCTGAGGTAGATGTCCACCCATGACGGTTTTTTTTTAAATTTTGTTTCCAAGGCATCTCTTAAGTTTTACTTGGTCCACTGCCAGGGAACATAGACTAGAGGTGTTTTAGGAAGTGGCCAGCAGTATCTGCATCCCCTTTCTCTTGATCCCATGACCCCTTTGGTCCATACTTAGCTAAAGGCTTTTTTTCCACCCTCAATTAGCATTTGTAAGGCACAGATGTAAACCACTGTTAGGCAGCCCACACATTACCATTTACTTTCTTTAGAGAGGGGGGCCTATGAAGCCACCAAGAAGTTTTAAAGGTAACTCCTAGTGAGTTGGAATGGAAAAATACCTGGAGGTGTGGAGGAGTGTTCTTAATTTAGACTTTTGTCCTCGCAAAACCATTTCAGGGAATCTAGAGAGTTATTGTGTTCACCAGTTGTCAGCCCCATAAATGCTCCAAGACATAACTGAAGTGGGGGTGTCTATCTTACTAGCAGAGAGAAATGTCTAAACTTGTAGCTCAACTCTTAATGGAAGCTTAAGAGAAGGTTCTAGCAATATCATTCCTGGGCACTTTGGGATGAGGATACCAGGAGATCACAGAGAGAGTTTTACCTCTCATTATGCAGGAGTCCAGGTGGGGAGAATAGATAATCAGAGACTTCTCTGCTGGTTACCAAGTTAGGCTGTTGGGACCAAGCTTCTCCGAAGGAGCATTTGGGTGCCCACGGGGGAGTCACCCCAGCTGTGGCCCCTCTGTTGTCCAGTCAGCTTTTATTGGTTCTACACAGCCAGAGATCTGTCTGGAAAGGAATCCAGCTGCCTGTCTGGCCAATAGTCCCACTAGCTTCAGTGGGAGGGTTATCCACAAGGACAGGATAAACCTGTCCTCTGCTTTAAGAGTGGTAGAGCTCTAAGATTGTTTAGCTGGCAAACCATTGTTTTTTAGAGTTCTATGAAGAGCAGACAAAGATGGTGTGTATATGTTCAGCTATGCTGCCACACTTATCTTTTCATAGAGAAGAGGGTGCTCCCTGTCTATTGGCTTTTTTTCTAGTTTTTGGGTGCTGTGCATGTGACAGAAATCAGGGATGCTCCTGGTTGCAGGTAGGCCTTTAATGTTTAGAAACCAACTGGTTTTGTTTGAGTTTTATCTTTTATAAGATCTCTTTTATTTAGTTAAAGACCTGTTTCATGTCTCTTGTATTTTGTGAAGCCCTGGTGGTCAGTTTGTTTAATTATTTGGGCCATTTGGTATGTTAACTTATTTACACCTTGATTTTGAGATTATTTTACTTTAACTATTTAGGATCTGTACCCTATGTGTGTACCTTTTTTTCCTGTTAGACTGACCCATGTGCATGGATGTGAGTCATTGGGAAAAGGTTGTCAGAGGTGGGAGGATTCATTGTATGCCAGGTTATACACTCAGTGTAAGCCAGTCCGGGGAACATACTCAGGCAGTGCAAGCTATTAGCAAACACAGACATATGTTTGCTCAAGTGGGTGAAGGCAGGCAGGTAAGGGCTTTCAGTGCCAGTAGGAAGACAGTAAGATTTTTACAAGTTTTATGCTTCCCTTGTAAGATTAGTGACATCAAGGGAAACTGATCATAATCTTAGCAAGTTGTCTTTTACAGTCATCCAAATGAAATGTGCTGATCTTTATGCTATTTGTCATCTTCGGTATTCCGTCCTTGGTCAGAATTTCTATTTTGCTTTTTTGTCTTAGGAACATCAATACTAAAATATAGGCTTTGTTTGTGAGCAAATATTTTCTCCTGTTTTTGAATGTGGTTGTTCTTGTCTTTTTCTCAAGGATCATCATTACAGTTGATGTTGTAAAAGTTGGGAGGGAACCTCAGTAACTGCCCTAGGGAGAAACCTTGGTAAAATAACTAAGAGGAAATTCAGGGAGAATTCTGCTACCGAATAAATGAGTAGTCATGCCTGCGGTGCTGGATAATCATTAGAGGTATGGCACGGATTCACTACTTACTGGCAAGGGGCAATCTTGCCTGAGGATTTGTCTTGGCTTTATCCAGGATACTTCCTTTCTTAAACTGAGACACCAGTCTTGGACACTACTCATTTGATGAGGTAAAAGGGGAGGTGGTAAGAAGTGAGTGCCTATTTACAGTTAAGCATAGGTCACAGTGATCTATGCCAAGTGACTATAAATGAATTGTGGGTGGTGTCTACTACTTACCATTAAAGCAAGATGATTCATACTTAGTGCTACATACCTTGGTAATAAGCAGCCAGTTTTACTGAATTAGTCAAACATGTCTTTGGACAACCATCTAGTATCTCTTAAAATCACAATCCAGTTCTCTATGAAAACTTTTCAACTTGGTAGATGTTGGTCAGCTAGTATTTTTAGCTTTGAAGTAGAAAAAAGTGAAGGCAGACACACATAATATTTGCCACACAGTGCCTATCAATTTATGCCCATAACCATAACCTCAGCTCTTCAGGCTTTCCAGCCTCTAGAGGAGTGTTCTGTTCCTACATTATTTAATCCCTCTAAGGGAGTGACTTGCTTGCACACTGAAGACAGTATGTTGGAAGATGGAAAGAGCCTAAGCCTTTCTGATATGACTGAGCTACAACCCTGAAATCAGGTATCCCCAGGTTTCATGAAAGGTGAAGTAATTGCTTTATTACTTTAAGCCATCATTAGTGGTATATTCTTGTATACACAGGTGAATAGATGTTAGCTGATATCCCTATATTCCTAGATAGCTTTAGAAGGTACAGGTAAACATATAGACACCCACCCATCTACACAAAAACACACACAATATTATATATTCAGAAGATTTTATTATAGGGAATTTAGAAAGTGGCACAGAAAGCATGTAAAGAGAAAGAAGAAGCAGTCCACTCAACAACTCATCCCAAGTCTTCATTGTCACAGTTTCAACTTGGAGTGACCTCTCACCTCAATGATTACTGATTTCCCATTCTTACCTGACACTGGATTCCTGATGTGTCACTGTCAATTCAAACCCACTGTTAAAGCACTAAGCTTTTTTCTCCCTCACACTTCCTGGACCCTTTGTTTATCATTAGTCTTATTATCCCTGATTCAGCCAGCTACTTGAAGTACACAAGCACCTGGACTGGTGACCCAAGCTCCTGGTTGTAGTCAGGGTTTACAAGGAAAACAATGTAATACAGGACACATAATTTATAGGATCATTTTGTAGCAGTCATACAAAGAGTCAAGTACAAAGGAGTGCGGGAGATCTGTCCACACATTAAAGACACAAAGAATCCAATTGAGGGCCTGGATCCCACGGCAATGTCCTGCATGAGTCCAGCTAAAGACCTAGAGCCTATAACAATGCCCCCCATGAGTCTAACTGGAGGCTAAGAGCCCAGAACAATGTCTCATGCAAGTCTCTTTCAAGGATCTGTGCTAGGAAGGCCCCAAGGTCAGTGGTGGAAGCTAGAAAGTCTGTGCCAGCAGAATGAAGGATCTGCACTAGCCGGCTGAGGGATCTGCACAGAAGCCAGGAAATGAGGCCCAAAATAAGAACCAGAGCTCCCCCCAAAATACCAAAGCCATCCTCAGCAACAGGGAGGATCCAAGCTCCTCTGACAATGAGAACAGACAAATTCATATTAGGAAAGCCAGCATGACGAGCTTCTCCAGGAGAACCAACAGCTCCCAACAGCTCTTCTCCTTCTCCAGTTCTCCTTATTTTGTTGGCAACAATCCTCAGGCAGGCCTTCCACATCCAGCATCACAGTGACTCAGTTCATCTGGGTATTATAGGTTGACTACTAGTTGTCAATCCACCATGCTGCCCTAGCTTCACTGAGAAGGCAGTGAGCTAGAAAGCTGTGACTCAGCTGAAGCCTCTCCTGGCAACATTTTGTCATGTACCAAAGTTGAACTGAGTGCTTCAACCCCTGCAAGGATCTCTACAGCTACTTAGAGCCTAGAAAAATAATCAACAGAAAAAAATAATAAATCGTGCTCAAACTGGAAGATACAGACAAATCCTAACTAAGGAAGCAATGTTGAAAGGTTTCGTGGCCACTGAGGTGTGGATGTGGCTTTATTTTATATCAATGAGATCATTAGTTAGTATGGCATCATTGGCTATGGTGATGGGATATCTTTAACATTTGATTATTTTAAGTTTATTATTTGAGTGCTCTTGGACCATGTATGAGCAGACTGCTATCTGAACAAAATAAGATCACATACAAAAAAATACCTACACTTTCTTCATATATAAAACCCTATTATTACTTCTGAGATATCCTAGGTCCCAAACATTCACACATTTTTTTCTCCTAAAATATGAGTAACATTCACAGGAATGTTTTCATATTTTTCCTCATAATTTCCAATATTGTTTCTCAATTGTCATCTTTAAATCTCTAAACTCTTAAATTCCAATAACTCCCAGCTCAGAGAAAGCATTTCCTTTTATCTTCACATTTCTGCTAGATTCACATTTTTAAAATTTTCCCTTGCAAAGGCATGCAGTTTGTTTGACTCCGCTGTCATATTTGTCCTACCTCTAGCATTCTCTGCTCTTATTTTTATTTAATTCACATCATCATTACATTCCTAATGAACCCTTGCAAATCCACAAGCATTCCACATTCCTGACACCCACGAAGGAGAAAAGAACCAGGGAAAGTAGGGATTCACTGTCCTTGTTAGAATGTGGGTACACATGATATCAAGAGCTCCAGCAGCCATTGGGTGCCTATGAGGTGACACACCAACCAATGAAGAGCCCCATGTCGAGGACAGCAGGCAGAATGCTCTCAGATGCCTGGGTGGGAATCAGAATAGGAATATGTCTGCCCCGACTCCACACGTTTCTTAACTTACTTATTTAATACATATTTGTTGATCAATGATCATTAGCTTGGCATCTTGACTGGCAGTATGGAGAAAGATACTGAGTAAAACAGATCTTGTCTCGTGAAGTTTCCAGTCCAAAGGAAAACCGAAAATAACCAAATAATCACATAAATAACCACAGCAATGGTGATAAATGTGATAAGGTTTATTAAGGAAAAACTCAAGAGGTGATGGGAGAGTTGAATACAGGGATCTGTAGATGAAGGATCCAGATGGAAGATTTAGAGAAGGCTGCACTAAGGAAGGGATGCTAAAGGGGCTGGCTCAGGCAAAGGTGGGAGGAAGAACACAACAACTGCAGCAAAATATTTTCTAGAGAAGCTCTACAGTAGGAGAGAGTATGTAGATTAAAGTAAGTGGAAGGAGGTGACTATGGCGGGAGAGTGGTGAGACAGGAAGAGAGAGGTACGGCCTGTGGCTGGATGGGTAGGTGGGAGGCTGGTTATGTGGGACCTTGTGAGCCACATTATGGGCAACATAATCTGATCTGCACTTTTAAACATTTACTCTGCTGAGCAGTTTAAATCAAACGAGCTTGGAAGCAGAGCAGTAAGTAGAAGACTGCTGGAGTACTTCAGACAGAATACAATATGGCAGTTTATCCTATGTGGCTAGTGGTAGACTTGGCAAGATAGGACCACTCACAAGAAGTATGTATAGGGTTAATTATTATGTATTAATTATTAAAATAATAGGATCTGGGATCAAGAGGAGCAGGAGGTCAAGGATGACTCCAAAATTCCTAGGAAAATCAACTAAATAGTAAGGGTGTTGTTTAATAAGATAGAGAGAAATAAACAGAAAAATAATTGCAAAGGTAAAAACTATGTGCTCAATTTTAAAATATGTTTATTTAAAATATTGCAAGATATCTAAATAGTAATATGAACTAGCAATTGGGCCTGGAACTCAGCAAGTAGCTTTACACTGGGAATGTTAGTTATAGAGCTGCTGAACTGTAAGAGTGTTTACGGGTCTAGGAGAATATATAATCACCTAGGAGAATATATAATCTCCTAGGAGAGTATAGAATAAGAAGAAATTCTACAATTGATCCCAGAAGGATCCATCATTTAGGTTTCAGATAATGAAGTGGCAATCAACAAAGGAGATTAAAAACTTGCTTCTAGGAAAACACCTTTCTTCTAGAAAGGTGTAATAAAAACCAGAAAACTCTAGTAGTTGATTCTGAAGTTTTTCAGATAGTTCATTCATTTAGCACATCAAAGATCAAGACATTGAAAATGGAAAAAAAGGGAAAACCACCATTATCCTCCATAATTATTAAAAAAGAAAATATGCTAGACAGCAGAGATTAAACTAGCAGTTTCTGAACCAAACTGCTACCCACCTGGAAATATTAAAAAGATGGCACAGTAAAGAACCTGAAGGGCCTGCGTCTCCCCCAAGAAACATCAAATAATTTTGGAAAAGATGTCAGGGTCACTACTGATGGAATTCTGGAAGGTAAACAAAAGATTTAATGCAACCAAGAGAACACAACCAGGAGAAAGGTCAGTAGGACATAGAAAGAGAGAGTAAATTATCCCTTCCCCAGCCCCTCTCTGACACAGTGATGGGCTTGGAGATGGCAGCCTGAATCTGCAGGATGAATACATGGTCCTATAGCTTTCTTAGGTTTTTCTGTTCCCAAGAAATCGCATTTCCTTTATCCTATCCGTGGGATGCCCAAAAAATTAATACACTAGTCTTACGTATTGCCTAAGTTAAAATTCTCTCAGGGTGAACTTTCCTCAAAAACATTGAAAACCAAATAAACAGACCACTGCCAACTGAGGCAAAAGTCAGCAGTTGAGGCAAATAGTAGACATAACAATCGCTGAGGAGGAAAAGTTGGGGAGTGAAACTCACCAGGAATAAAGGCTTTAAAAAGCTCGGCATATAGCAGGGAATCTAAAATCCTGTGTGCATGGCCAGGGCAGGACACATGCTCAGAAAAACTATCCAAATATTATCTCACTTCTAGTTAATAGTGAGATTCAACATAACCAGTGGGTAAAGACCAATTATACTTATAAAAGGACCGGCTTAACCTGGAGAGGTTCTTCTTCCTCTTTTTAAAATAGACTTCAATCAAACAACCTTCTGGCTATTATACTTAAGAAACAGATACTTCTGAGATTAACAAAGAATATATTCTTTGTAAAGATGGCCTAAGAACTCACTAAACAAACAAAAATAATAGCCCATAACAAGAAAAGTCAGCAAATTCTAGAAAAAAGAGAATTTGATTTCTAATTATCAAAATATACAGTTATCACCTAAAACTACAAAGCACCTACATATACAAGAAAATATAGCTTAGTCTAAAGAAAAAAGAAGTTAACAGAAACTCTTCCTGAACAAGTCCAGATATTGGACTTACTAGACAAAATCTTAAATCAATTGTCTTTAAAATGCCTAAGAGCTAAAGAAAGCTATGGACAAAAAAAGTAGAAGAAACCAAGAGAACAATGTTGCCACATACAGAGAATTATGAATAAAAGAAATTATAAATTATTAAGAAATTATTAAATATAAAAAATTATGAATAAAAGGACCCAAATGGAATTTTGTTAATAAATACAACAAAGAAATGAAATTCATCACAGAGGTTCAAGAGGTTTATTTAAAAAGACAGAAAAATCTGCAAGCTTGGCAGGTCAAATGAAACTATTCACTCTGTGGAACAGATTTTAAAAATAAAGGAAAATGAACACAGCCTAAAAGACTTGTAGGGTACTATCAAACATAACAGCATACACATAATGGGAGCTTAAGGAAATGAGAGAAAAGGACAGAGAGAACATATGAAAAAAAAAAAATAATGACTGAGAATTTCCCAAACTTCACAAAGTACGTGGTTAAATATCCAGCAAGCCAATGAACTCTAATAATAAATACAAAAATGTCCACAATGACACAACTGTAATTATATGAATGTTCAAAGACCAAAAAGGAATCTTAAAATCACATGAGAGAAGTGATTCATCTCATATAGAGGATTCTCAATCAGCTTAACAGCTGATTTCTTAGTAGAAACCAGGGAGTCAAAAGGGTATTGAGATGACATCTGAACTACTGACCAAAAAAAACCAACAATTATCAACTAAAAATTCTATATTTGGCAAAACTATCCTTTAAAATGAAGGAAGAAAAATTAAGATATATCTAAATTGGAAGGGAAAAAGTAAATTTATCTTTGTGTATTATATGATATTACATAAAGCCCAAAAAGAATTCACAAACAAAACATTAAAGATAAGAAACAAATTTACCAAAATTATGCTATATAGAACCAACACCCTATAAGGAATGTAATCGTTATGTACTACAAACATGTACCAATAAAAAATAAAAATGGACATTGGCAAAAGAAGAATATTCAAAAGCCAGTTATACACTATTAGTGACAGTACAAAATGAAAATTTAAAAGCAATTACACTTACAACAGCATCAAAAAAACAATACTTAGGAGTAAAGTTAATGTAGCATGTACAAGACTTGCACCTGAAAACTACAAAGCATTATTGAAAGAAATTAAAGAAGATAAGGTCTGGGGATGTAGCTCAGGGGCAGAGCTCCTGGCAAGCTCAAGGCCTGGGTTTGATTCTTAGCACCAAAAAAGGAAAAAAAAGAAAAGAAAGAAATTAATGAAGACCATAATAAATGGAAAGATATCCTATGTTCATAGACTGTAAAACTTAATATTGCTAAAATGGAAATACTCCCTTAAAGTGATTCTCAGATTTAATACAATCCCTATAACTCAATATGCTTTTATCCCTCAAGAAATGGAAAACCCAACCCTAAAATTTGTATGGAACTTCAAAAGACCCAAGTAACCAAAATCATCTTGAAAAAGAACAAAATTTGAAGATGTATACTCTTTGACTTCAAAACTTACTGTAGAGCTATAGTAACCAAAACAGTGTGGTAATGGCATAAGCTGGGCATATAAATCAATGGAATAATATTGAGACCCAGAAATAAATTCATGTATCTATGGTCAGTTGATTTTGACAGAAGTGCCAAGGCCATTAAATGGAGAAAGAATAGTCATTGCAACTAACAGTGCTGGAGCTAGTGAACATCCACATGTGCAAAAATGAAGGTGGACCACTAACTCACACCATACACAAAAATCAACTCAAATAGACCACAGACCTAAGTCTATGAGCTAAAGCTATAAAATTTAGAAGAAAACAGAGGCTAATCTTCATCATCTCAGCATGGAAATGGCTTCTTAAACATCCCATCAAAAGCATAAGAAAGGAAAGGAAAAAATAGAGAAGATAGAATTCATCAAAATTAAAAAAACAACAACAAAAAAAAAGAGGTAGGAGCCTCAAGTACAACCCCACCCTGAACTATTTAGCATGAACTTGCCTTAAAATTAAAAAATTTTAAAAGAGCTAGAGATGTACCTCTGTAGGCAGACCCTGGACTCAATACCTAGTACCACAAAAACATTTTAAAGACACTAATAACTTTTTGGCATGAAAAGACACCATCAAAAGAGTGAACAGAAAGTCCACAGAATGTCCACATGTTTTCATGATATGTTTCTGCTAGGATCAAACTCCCACCATGGCCCAAATTAATAAAATTTATACACAAAAAAATATACAGAACAAGAGAGTTTGACAGTTCCTTGATAAGTTAAACGTAGAATTACCACATAGCTCAGAAATTCTATTCCAAGTATAGATTCAATAGAAATGGAAACAAGCATTTTGATAAAAATTCATATGTGGATGTTTATGGCAACTTTATTCAGATAGCCAAAGTGACCAAAATGTCCATCATCAAATGGATAATTAAACAAAATGTGATATATTCATACACTAGAATTTGTTCAGCTATAAAAAGGAATGAAATACTGATACATGCTACAAATGAATGAACTTGAAAACATTATGCTAAGTGAAAGAAACTACACAGAAAAAGCCACATATTACATGGTTCCATTAACGTGAAATACCCAGAATGATATATCCATAGGAAAAGGAAATAGATTAGTGGTTTCCAGGGACTGAGGGGAGAGAGAATGGGGCATAACTGTTTAATGGTACAGGCTTTCATTTGAAGAGATTAAAAATTTCTGGAATGAGATAGTGTTACTTGTCCAAACTTATGAATATATTTAATGCTTCTGAAGCATTCAGTTTAAAGTTTTAAATGATAAATTTTATA